GACAGTTCTTTTGCTCTGCATCCAGGCGGTGGCAGCAGTAACTTTCAAAGCGTGACATTATCTAACCTACAGTAATGGGTAATGGTAATGTGGATGTGTGCAAACACAATATTACATGTTCAAAAATAAATATCTTAGAGATATAATGATAGAATACATGTAGTCAAATGGAAAAAAAACAACAGCTGAGTTTTGTGTCATTGCTAATGTCGTCAATAAGCTATCTATTATACAGTATCTGTTTAGTTTTGCATCACTGCTCTTACAACCCAAAATATTCATTTATCTTACCAAGCAAAATAAAACTTGCTTCTCAGGTCATTTAATAAATATGATTACATAACTTACTCTAATTACATTTAGCGTTTGCAGTACGATTTAAGAAGAAGCCTATTAATGGTTTTTATTTCAAATCTAAACATCTTAGGTTAAGTTTAAGCTGGTGTTTTGGTGACAGTTTATCATTCTGATTAAACCGAATCATTTTACTGCTGTGCTTTTTAATGGAAATGCTTGATCCTGTTAACATGAGCAGATTTTCAATGTTTGGATTTAAATAGTTTCAGTTATTCCCTTGCTGAACATAGGCCAGTCTCAGATATGACTATGAACCTCTCACAGCGCTCATGCTCATTTTCCTTTGCGGCGATACCAACCCAACAGAAGTGCATGTTAAACGTGAGACGTGGCTGTGCGGGGTTGCTGCTCTGCCTTTGCCTGCTCGATGTCCTGTTACGGAGCAAGGCGGCCCTCTGGGCAGCCCTGTGGTGGCCCCTGGGGCTTCAGGAAGGGAACTGAAAAATCAATTTGTTTATGAAGATTAGTGTACTATTTATTTAACATGGTATCATTATTATAATCAGCAGCGAGACTGTTTATGACTTCTTTTTAGTTTTATGTGCATGCTCCATTTTAATTTTACATTTAGGCGATTCCCTCGAAAAGTTTGTGTTAATTCTTCAACTCTGAAATAGCCTAAATACTTTTTAAATTAATCAGTTAATTAAATAAATAAAAATGATTTAGTCTCTTGTCTGAATGCAATTATCTAAAATTTAAACATGCAGAATTGTAGGCCTGCATACGGTTGACAAAATACACACATAATACATGGAACAGCTCTAAAATTACATTTAAGCTATTATACAATTATGTTTGTTTAAGTGAACACACAATAGACCTGAACTCACAGAATACTGCAAAAATGCAAAACTTGAAAAATAAAATGAGAAGATTTTTCTGTCAGATACCGACAGTGTGGCGGGGCAGAGCTTTAGAGTTTAACCATAAACCTTCTTCTGTCTTGGTGAGGGAGCTCTTGACACACTGATCCTTCTTTATTTACAGTGAACTGATCCGCACTGCTCTGCCCTCATGGTGATGCTTCACACGACTGACAGGCTGCAGGGGCACGGACACGTCCACAGCTACATGTAGCATCTGTACATGTGCAAGTGCGTGTGTCCCGTCTTTTCTGTGGTGAATACATATCACAAATCCTCACAGGCTAAAAGAAAAAAGCAACATAAATAGAAACCAGTTTCACATTGCAAAGACTCTTTTCAAGTTAAAATGGGCTATTAAATGCAGTACGTTTCAAAATAAAATCTCTCTGCTTGCATGAGGGATTAGATTTTTTTTTTTAACATATAGTCAAATAGCCACTAGAATTGACCTGAAACAATAAAGGCTCGGTGTGGGAGCCTTTTTTACTCTCATTCCTTCTGCTGGTGTTGTGTTTGTGTTAGTGTGTGTGTGTGAGTGTGTGTGTGTGAAAGAGAGAGAGAGAGCATTGTCCATTAGGCCTATCCCTCTAATAGGATTTGCAAGTCAAGAGTTTATTCTGGGTGTGTAACGGCCTCCACTGGGTGACTCACGTCACAAACTGTTGTGGTTTAGGCCTTTACACCAAGAACTGGCAAATCATGTAGACGCGGTCGGACAAGGCAGAAAATTGTGAAATTTGTATGAAATGTATAGCCTGTTGCCTCTCACAATTCATATTGATGGTTTGAAAATCTACCAGATTATGATTATTATTATTGTCTTCTGTTTCAAAATAAAGTTTGAGTTCCTGTAACAGTGCCTTAAGTAAAGAATGGGGATTCTCAGGTTTTTAAACATACCGGTCTTGTGCCACTGTGTGCATGTTTTTTTTTTAACTTGTTCTTGTGTATTTTTGTTGAGGCTACTTATAAAATAAGGAATTCTGCCGACTGTACGTGGCCTTGTGAGTATCAGTGAGACTGAATGTGAGTCCAATTCACAGCCTGGTAATAACTTGACACTCCGAGTAATGAAAGGAGCTGGGGTTAAGGCCTTCCTGTAACGCACCCTCCGAGCACAGGAGCACAGTATGTACTTCTGGTGAGTCTGGAGACTTGTTCATGGAAAATCAACAGGCTTTGATTGCCAACACTTGCTAGTGATTGATATTTTCTTTACAACGCACGGCCAGAATAGTAAATTTGACCATTTTCTTTACAGATTACAGGCCTATATTTTTAGGGTGAAGAGGCTGCTGTAAAGACAGGTTCTGGGTTCGAGCCCAGGCAGAGTCTGCATGTTCTCCCTGTGCCTGTGTGGGTTCTCTCCAGGTACTCCAACTTCCTCCCACAGTCCAAAGACATGCAGCTTAGGTTGATTGGTGAATCGAAATTGCACCTAGGTGTGTGTGTGTGTGTGTGCCTGTGTCTAAGTGTCAGCCCTGTGATAGACTGGTGACCTGTCCAGGGTGGACCCCACCTCTCGCCCGATGTCGGCTGGGATTAGTTTCAGCCCCCCTGCGACCCTGTTCAGGAATAAGTGGTATAGGTATTGGATGGATAGGCTGCTGTAATTGAGCACATCATCAAAGGGCAATAAAGACATGCACTGAAATGAATTATTTTACATTTAACAACTGTGAAAGGAGTGACCCACATACCCATTTAGTGTCAGAGAAAGGTTAACCTACATGAGGCAGCAGTAGTCACTTAAAAAAGAAAACAAATACACAATTAAAATGTACCACTGAATGATGATTACAACATATAATGTAAAATAACTACCATGTGTTATTTATCGCCATATTCCTGTTATTGAGAAAAACATACAGTATGTTCCATTTGGGCAGTGAGTGGTGCCAGTATTGGCCTTGGAATATTAACCTCATAATTTTCCAGACCTTTACATTGTTAATTTTTCATGGCAACCTGAATTTGTGACAACACTGAAATATTTGTACATTTTTAATGCTTCTTGTTTGATTTTTGTGATCATTTGTTTATTGTATATATATCAAAAAACACAGACCAAAACAAACAAGAGGACAGAAGCCAAACCCCTTTGCACATGAAGCTATTCTAAGTGAATCTCTTATTAAAGTTACTCTTGGCATTGTACAAAGGTACCTTATGCACATGTACTTATTTGCATACTTGGCACACATTACTCAGTATGTGCATGTGTGTATAAATACACACTCATTTTTAGAATGATTTCTCATAAATTTTATAGTTATACTTTTTTGAATTTTAGTCTCCCACTTTTAATACATTTCTTTACTTTGCAAGCCATGATTGTACTGGATGTATGTACCCTTATGTTTCATGCTCTTTTGTGTAAAATAACTGCAATTCTAATTTTGTTTGTTGACCAAAAACCTAATAATAAAAACCTAGATCAATAAATTATCTATCTATCTATCTATCTATCTATCTATCTATCTATCTGGCTGTTTGTCTGTTCTTTATTACATCCTTCTAGGTTCAGGTCTTACTTCAAGAACAAGGAGTTAATGTCTGAGCTAGACATTTACAATCATACTATTCATAATCATACACAGATCTTACTCAGACTATTTTTTAGAAGCTTCATGCACTCTGATGAGAATTCTTTCTAGTAACTGTTCATGGTTTATTGCTTTTTGCCTGCCGTTCACTGTGCCAGGAGCAATTCTTTGTTAAAAAGTGTGCTGCTTGGTTCTGGCAGCAGACCACCATCTTCGTGGTTGAAGTAAGAAATATAAGAAGATGTCTGCAGCCTCCGATATAGCCTGAAGTGTCCAGTGAGAAGCAGCACTGTTTGTGAGACAGGGATGTGTCTCGATAACAGACACAGCAAATACATTTTCTCAGAAATGTTTAGCCCCTGGACAGTCCTGTGTCAATAATTTGTATAAACACAAAGTACAATAGGGATCTGTTCTAAAAGTTCAAAGGTCTCTGGGGAGACTTAACCTATATTTGTAGTGTGTCCATTATGAACATCAGCTTGTAGAGATTTTAAATTGGCTTTAATTAGGTGTGACAGTGACTATTGTACTGTTACAGCTGTTGTCGTACTATATGTCATGCAGCAGACATTTATTAGAGTACTTTTCAGTTTATAGCCAAACAGTAACTGACTGTTCACCTTCAAGGACTTGTAAAGTTCCATATCTCTGACTGACTCCGGAGCTGTCTGGAAGGCAGGGAAAAGACACTAAAACACTGTACACGTTTTGTACACCTGAATGTGACTAAATACAACAACTGCACAGCAGTGGTATGGTTGATCTGAACAAATTATTAGATCAGCCTGTTTCCAAATTGAGGCATCACAGTAAATTATCCTTTGCCTGTAGCTATAAGTTTCTTCCACATGTATAAACTTACAACATGAGCAGCCTACAGTGTTTCTTTTGTCAGATTTGAAACTGTAGGCTAAGCCTATTTGTAGCCATTGTAGTGCCAGGAGAATTACAATATACATTTCAATGGACACCCTACAGGGCTGATGGAGCTTCCACTCACAAATATACCGTTTTTAAAAATAAATTGTAATTTAGTTGTTAATGAGCGGCTCTGTTAATATCATGCGTATTTTCCTTTTGCAGTGATCAGTCTATACTCTTCTGTGGTGGTCACTAAATAGATAGAGGCATTGTGCCATCTATATATTCAGTCATTATTTACGTACATGGTTAAAAAAGCAACAAGGAAGCGGCGCGCGACGTCGCTGTGATTTCCGAGTTTCCCGCTGTCACCTGAACGGCTCGTTTCCATGGCATCAGACAACACAGAGACCACAGGGACGGTGGTGAACCTGGACAATGTCTTATCAAAGGTGTCTTTCTAAAGAGGAACAGGACTTTTATGAAACTAAAAACGCAGCTGCTGAGTTTTACCGGCTTAACAGAATCCCCCAGGAGATAGAGAGAGCTCTGAACGAGCTCTTCTTCCACAACCCCGGAGACGTTCACGGTTACCTGGTATGAGCTTTATTAAATCCATGCTGTTAATAGATTGCCGTCCAGTCCCAACCACCTAAAAGTAACGTATAATAAAGTTATGCTAATATTATAGTATGTTATCTTCTGTGCTGCGGTCTTGAAAGTCACGGTTAGCCTAACACCCAGATAGTAACGCTGTCTTGTTCAGGACCGTCGCCCATAAGCTCCCTTAGAAAAGCTGTGGGGACCGGCTGTGCGCTGCCCTTTAATGGGTGTGGTGATTTTCCAAAACCAAGCAGTTACTGCTCATGATCTTTCCTATTCTAACATCAGAAAATACTGTTTAAAAGTCTTCATACATGTCCACTTACATGCAACACCACCTGTGGCCAACAAATAGCAGCAGTGTTTTTGACTCCTGTGTCCAAACAGCCACCATTTTAAAGGCGCGTGTGTTGCCGACGTCAGCACAACATAAGATTCTGAGCTAACGTGGTCATTTTTCCTTGTTATAATGTTTTGACAAAGGCAGACAAAGAATAATGACTAAGACAATGAGCAGATATTTGGAGCAAAATAGAAACGGATGTGTGAAAAATATTCCATTAACTGTTAAAGTCGTGTATACAGTGTTTTCCAGTAAACATTATTTTGGCTTCTACTGTTCACTTGATAACATTTAGGTGAGATGCATATTTATGTGTATTCTTGTATATTGGCTTCTAATGTTAGGTAATGAGAAGACTAGAGAGTAGTCTTGAATTTACTGATGATCCAAACAGCAAGCATTCAACTTATTTTGGCTCTGTTTTTGTGATTCTGTTACAACTACTGATACTATTTTTGTAATGTCTATTTTGTGTGCAGATATTTGCTTTGCTCAATGTTTTAATTGACAAGAACAGGAAATACCTAAGGGCAGCATAATGGTAGAAGTGGGGTTAAATGTATGTGTGTGTTAATATTCTTGATGAAAGAGAAGCCCAAAATGTACTTTGTGGATGCTGGCACTCTGAGTTTGTATGTTCCCTATGTGTGTTTGGATTTCTTCTGGGTATTTACACTTCCACCATCGGTACAAAGACATGCAGGTTAGATTGACTGACTCTAAATTGCCCGTAGGTATGAATGTTTGTAATTGTCTGTCTCTAAGTGTCAGCCCCATGATAGACTGGTGACCTGTCCAGGGTGGACCCCGCCTCTTCCCATAGCGCGGCATGGGACTAGCTCTACCTGACTGTAATAGTGAAAAGTATATGAGTTGAATATACATGTATTTATATGGAAAATGTTTGCATTTGAGCCAGTTTGAACACATCTTAATGTGGCAGATCTAGATTACCCTGCTAATTGCTATGGTCAAGTGCTTTCTAAGCAAGACATGAATTCTAAAACCAGCCTTTAAAGGCAGAAGAATCACAACTTCAGTGAAGTGCAGGACAAAACTGACCTTTTTTTTTACCATTAATGTCACTTTAGGCAAATTACTTTACAAATATCTCTGCACCACCAAGGATAAGCAGACTGAAGGGAAGGGAGGTTTACGATGCAAGAGGAGAACTATCCATTGAGGCGGAGGTCTTCTGCATTGTCTGCAACAAGGAAAAGGTAAAACTTATGAGTCACATTTTGACTTACCAGCTGCTTTATTAAGTACACTTATACAATTGTATGCATTTCAATTAAACCTTTCTGCCTTAGCATCTGTGTTTATGAAGTTCAAAATGTTTCAGTTTTTTGTGAAATTTGTGAAATTGTCATAAATGTATAAATTCAATTATACGTATATTACTGAGGTCAGAGTTAAAGGTGGTGTTGTACTGGACTACAGAGGTGTTCCTAATATTTTGACCCTCTCATGTATGTAGCTGGGGAGGACACAAATATAGAAACTCCTCTAAGTATAATATACAATCCCAAATCAGAAAAAGTTCAGATAGTAGGTAAAATCAAAATTAAAACTGAAAATAGTGATGTGTAATTCCTCTGTGTCCTGTAGCACATTGAGAACAACACAGCAGCCCATTATTTGATGTGAAACCATCAGCTTTATTCTTTGTTTTAACGATATTTACCTGGCAACAGATGCTGGTGGCTATGACACGGTTGACCAAGATATCCTAATATCTCGACTTAAGGAGTTAGTGGGCATTCGTGGTACTGCCTTAGAGTGGTTCAGGTCTTATTTGTCGGATAGGACGATGTCTGTTGGGTTTGCTGATGTTGAGTCCTCATTTACCCCGTTGGTATCTGGGGTTCCGCAGGGCTCAGTTTTGGGGCCCCTGCTTTTCTCTTTATATTTACTTCCTCTTGGTTGTGTTTTTAGAAAACATGGTGTTTCTTTTCATTGTTATGCGGATGATGTGCAGATGTACATACCAATAAGGGGAAGGGACACATCATCGGTTGTATCATTATTGTCATGTTTTAATGACGTTAAGAGCTGGATGACTTTGAATTTATTGAAATTAAATGATTTGAAAACTGAAGTTATAGTGTTTGGCCCAAATAATTTTGGTGATTCTCCTCCCAGTTGATCTAGGTTGCTTGCAGCAGTATGTGCGGTCGACTGTTACAAGCTTGGGTGTCAAAATAGATTCCAATTTTAAATTGGAAGGTCAAGTGAACACGGTTGTAAGGGCTAGCTTTTTTTCACCTTTGACAGCTGGCAAAGGTAAAGCCTTTTCTTTACATGCGTTTATTACGTCTCGCCTAGATTATTGTAATGTGCTCTATTTTGGGCTTAGTCAGACGTCCCTGGCCCGTCTTCAGAGAGTTCAAAATGCGGCTGCTCGTTTACTGGTTGGGGGGCGCAAAGGGGAGCATATCACTCCCATTTTGGCTTCTCTTCACTGGTTGACGGTGTATTTAAGAATCCATTTTAAGATTCTTTTATTTGTTTATAAGTCTTTAAATGGTTTGGCCCTCTCTTATCTTACAGAGTTGTTGCATCCCTATAGTCCTTCTCGGTGCCTCAGATCAGCTGATCAGCTGCTTCTTGAGATACTGACGGCTAGGTTGAGACTTAGGCGGGACAGGGCTTTTGCTGTGGGGGCTCCAAAGTTGTGGAATTCATTGCCCCTATATATTAGGCAGGCCTCCTCGTTGTCTGTTTTTAAAGTGTATTTGAAAACTCATCTGTACCTTTTGGCATTTGAACCGGTATGAGGCTCTGTTTTGCTGAGGATTTTTGTTTCATGATAGGTGGTTGTTTAATTACAATTTTGTTTTATTATTGTGCTTTGTGTTAAGCACTTTGGTCAGCTGTTGTTGTGTTAAATGTGCTATATAAATAAAGTTGATGATGATGATGATGATGTTGAAAATAAACACTCACTTCAATCCTGATGCTGCAACACATTACAATAAAGGTTGGGACAGTAAAGCGTTTACCACGGTGTGATGCTGCTGTTCCTTTTCACAACACTTAAAAGCCGTTTAGGGACTGAGGACACCAAGTGATTCAATGTGTCAGGTGTCATTTTGTCCCATTCTTCCTGCAAACAAGTCTTAAGGTGCACAACAGTCCTGGGTCTTCGTTGACATGATCTACCTTTCAACATGTGCCAAACATTCTCTACTGGGGACAGGTGGGGACTGCAGACAGACCAGTCCAGCACTCACCCTTTGCCTCCACAGCCAGGCCTTGGTAATGTGGCAGTATCCAGCATAGGCTCAGCCCTCGGCCTTTACACACTGAAATCCCTCCAGATTCCTCGAATCGTTTAATGATGTTCTGCACCGTAGAGGGTGACATATCCAAATCCCATTCTATCTTTCTTTGAGGAACATTGTTTTTAAACATTTCAATAATTTTCTCACTCATATGTTGTCAAACTGGTGGTCCTCGGCCCATCTTTGCTCCTAAAGGGCTCAGCCTTTCCTGGATGCCACTGTTGTACCAAATCATGATGCAGTCACCTGTTGACATCACCTGTTTCAAATGGGATCATCATTTCATTGTTTTACCTCGTTACTGGCCCTGAAATGTAACCGACCCAACTTTGTTTGGAATGTGTTGCAGCATCAGGATTGAAGTGACAAAGAATAAAGTTGATGAGGTATCACATCAAATAATATGCTGCTGTATTGTTTTCAGTGTAATACAGCATACAGATGATTTAAAAATCACTATTTTCACTTTTTAATTTAGGTTTTTACATACTGTCCCAACCTTTTCTGATTTAGGGTTGTACACTGTACGCTGATTCTGGAGAAACAGGTTACAGGGAGACAGGGGACAGGCGCTGGAAAGTCTCTGGGGAGGTAGCTCATCATAGTCTGTACAGTAGAGGTTGGGACGATGTTGAGAATGGAGGGACCTCCTACTAGTCAGCCACGTCACTCATAACAGCTCCAGCAAATGTGTGGCAAATAGCTTGTTGGTATTCTTTTAATGAGGTTCTTCCCTCTCTTGATACTCAGAGCATGGCCTCAGCTGGCCTGCCTGGCCATTGTGGGCCTAAGAAGACTTCAATGGACGGGAAAGCAAAGAGTCAGGAGAGGGCTGACCATGTGATGACTGCTGTCCAATGGATCAGTGCACCTCTGAACAACAAGCTGAAGGGCCAAAACCCCTGTGACCAATCAGACATCGATCATATACTCAGGTAGTGTTCCCATTTTTTTCAAGCTACTGTGAAGGACAGCATCTCTAGAGGGGTAATGGAATGAAAATAGGCTCTGAGACTTTTGATTGTTCAACTGTCTCCATGTACGCCATAGATCAAATTGTAGTATCATTGTATATTTTCTATTATTCCACATGTTGTTGTAAAATAGTTTTTCATCTATGTGAGTAATGTAAGTTCCCTTATATTCAGTTGTTGTGCTTGATCAGTCTGCTTTCAAAAGTTATTAGCCCTAGATGGTTTATTTGTTTGTGGAAAGGTTTTGGTGTGTTCCACTGTACTGTAAATGATGCCTAAGCCTTTACATCCTGACCCGAATAAATAAGGGAAGAAACCAAATACCTGTAATTTTTCATTTTCATAAAAATGAAATGTTCCCTTCAGTGGATCTCTTCATAGGGCTGCTTACTGCCTGCAGTACAGCAACAAAACATGCAGGGAGAGTACATCTCTGGTTCCAGGACTCTTCTAGGATGAAACTTTGAGCTTATGTTCCTGATTTATAAATGTACTCTAGAAATGTTGGTATTTAAAAAATCAGAAACTTAGCTTTTGTTCACATTAATGTAGGATGAGTCGAGGTAAGACAAGGTAAACAAACAAACAAAAAGAACTGTGCCTTTTTTCCATGGAGATCCAGTGGGGCCTGTATAGTTCCCTGTGTGTTGACCTCATGCAAAGGTAATGCTTTGCACTTGTCTTCCTATTGTCAAAGACTATCATATGATCATGATACCCTCGACTGGGTGCTTTTGCATTATGTCTCATGATCCAATAGAAAAGCTAAATGAGGCCCTAATCTTGGGGTTAGGGTGGGCAATGCCATTCCAAATTTGGAATGACAAAGAGTGGAAATATTTTAGGTATAACAAGGAGCTCACATTAGTTGTATCGCTGTAGACTGGATAGTGTATTTTATCCATGTAGGAAAATGTACCTGTAGTCTTGAAGAATGTATACTGTGTATACTGTGTTATAATGTATGCAGCTGCATCCTTAAGTGTGCAGCGCTAGACTGAGACCTACAGATATCTAGTCTAGATTCCAAAAGTCCACATACCCAGAATTAGAGTGGCAAGAAAAAGCAAGGGAACCCTTTGGAAAGGCTTACATTTACACTATGTATAATTTAGTTTTGTGTTGTGCAGGCCTGAGCCACAGCTACAGGTAGAACGGGTTTGATGTTATTGCTGAAGTTCAACCAGTTATTAAATCCAAGGACTCACTTACTTTTGCCAGCAGCACTGAGAAGGTTTAACTTTTCCATCATTAACTGGTGTATAAGAAGAGCTCAGAAAGACATATGGACGCAGTGGTTCTCCAGCGTCCTCCCACAGTCCAAAGACATGTAAGTTAGGCTGACTGGTGGCTGTACATTGCCCATAGGTGAGATTGGTTGTTTGTCCCAGTTCTGTGCCAGTTGTTCCCTTTCAGGTTATAAAGTAGATTTTGCAGAGAAGCACACAGTGAAGTGTTCCTGTGTTCTAATGTATTAGGTGCCACAGAGATTCTGGAGCTCAGTAGAGCACAGGTAGCTTGTTTTCATTCCAGGATGTAATTCTGTGCTCTGTAATTGCACAGCAATTTCTTCATGGAACGCTACGTGGAGGAGAGAAACATCTGCAACATGGTGAAGGAGGAGAGCTGTCCACCTAGTGAGCCTGAGGTGGTGCTTCCTTCTCCAATACCCACACAGAATAAGGACAAGAAGAGTGTTGACAAAGGTGGAGTAGTGCTTAGCTCTACAGCAGAACTTGCCTAATGTTGGGTATCAACATGTGATTTCACCAGAAAGGGAACACTGAGCTCTCTAATAGAGAAAATAAAGGATAAAAACAGTTTTTCCTTTATTATTACTGCATGATAAAATGTAGCATTTTGTCTGTACTTTGTCAAAATATATGACACTGCAGTTTACTGCTTTCTCTGTGTAATATTTGTCATGTTTAATGTTTTGCCTAAGAACTAAAGGGTAGTGGTGGAGGTTCAGTAAATCCAATGGAAAAACAAAAAGCAACAGCAAATGTGTCTTGTCAAAAAGGTTTGTCTCTGTAGCCAACACTCAATCAGCACTTCATTATGCCTAGCCAAAATGAAGTCTAATCCAACAGTCCTGTAATAAATCCTCTGTCGTGAAGGTGAGAAAGTTTAGTTTGTGTTCAAAGTTTTTTAGCGTGGATTAAACTGTGTGAAGGTGAGAAAGTTTAGTTTGTGTTTTTTAGCGTGGATTAAACTGCGTTATCATTTGTGCTGCTGTTTAACTGTACTGCATTATACTGGCAGATGTTTCTATTATCCTGTTCACCCTATTCTTCCAAGTGAGGCTAGGCTATGTAAATAACAGAAACACCCACAACACCCATCTTTACATTACAGGCAAAAAGAGCAGCGCCGAGAAGCCACTTCCTCCAGCGGAGCCACCAGAACCAGTTCTGCCTGGGAGCTGGGCCATTGGCTCAGTGTCTCTGGCTGTTGCTAAAACCGGGGCACAGTTACAGGGCATCCCTTTCTACAAACACATAGCAGCTCTGAAGAACCGAGAGGTTAGACTACACAAGTGCACGCACATACATGCACACAAAAACAACACGGGGAGAAATGTATAACATTGTCTTGAACATTTTTCTTCAGACTCCAGCACAGTTTCACATCCCTGTCCCCTTGGTAACCTTGCTGAGCTGTGGGAAGACTTCTCCTGGAAAACTGAATCTATTTGAAGAAGTCATCCTGATCCCCAGAGCAGGACAGCGAGTCAAACAGGTACTCACACCTCCCAGTCACACGTCTGTGTAGCTGGTTCACGTCTGGCCTCCTATGCTAGTTGGCATAGACATGTTCACTATATAGAGTTGGCGTTCTTTGTGCAACTTCGCTGTTTACTCTGTTGTTGCTACGATGTGGGAAGTTATTGGTATAACATTTACAAAATGCACTGAACTGTGAACTTCTTCAACAGATCATCCCAATGACCCTTGAGTTACAGAAGGAGATGATGAGAATAACGAACACATCAACAAAAACTGGGGTGAGGAACGCAGGCTTTGTGAGAGCATAGAATGTAAAAGGTGGAGTTGGGATTCAAAGTTTTTTCTGTTACCGAGCTTTCCTAAAAGATCCATAAAAAAGGAGATTTATACTCGATTTTCATTGTTAATTTTCAAATTAACTCAGGTATGCAGGCCTGAAGGTGGAGTATGTCGAAATGCTTATTAAAGCTTTCAGTACATTTCCTAGCTGCCTTTTCCTTCATGCATTTGTACTGCATGCACGTGGTCTTCTGCATTGCTCATTAACCCCTAGCACTTACAGGCATAATGTGAACAGTGGAGAGGGTCAGTGGAACATACTTGTTTTCTAATAACCTTGCAGTAGCAACTGTCTCATTGAAACCTATGAATAAATATTCATCTATTGCCATTTACATGCAGCTTCTGCTAAGCTGCTTTTCAGCAGATGTATCCAAAGAGGAGAGGAAGGAACATTGTAGGTTAATGTATTTAATACAGCTGGATGGCGTAAAAACACAATATGTAAACATAGACGTTGTTAACAAAGCGAACTGTGTCTTTGCTCCGAGGCCACTCCGACGATCCACTGTGACAGCGGAGCATTGGCCGTGAGCTCCGAGAGACCTGAGCAGCCTTTGGACCTGATCACTGAAGCCTGTGCTAACCTTGGACTGGCACTGGGAACAGACGTCCATTTAGCACTAAACTGTGGTGCCCCTGAGCTAGTGGACTATGTAAGTGGATGAAAGATAGTTGCTGAGCCAGGATGTTGGGAGTCCTGCATACAGCCGAAGAGATCAGTTCACGTGCAAATACAGTATAGAGACACAAAGCAGTGAAGATAACTGATTGTGTTTTCTACTTCTCTCCCTCTGAGTCTAAAGGAAAGTATGAAGTTGCAACAGGAGTCCTGAAGTCTCCAGATGAATTGGTGGACATGTACCGAATCCTCATCAGCAAATATCCAGCAGTGAGGGCCATAATCGATCCATTTAGGAGAGAGGTACATTCAAAACACTATCATGCTTTTCTCATTTTCTCAAGTTCATATATGTTAAAAAAAAGTTTATATAATGTGTATGTAGTTCCTCCTGACACTTACAGTAAGAGTATTAAGTATAAAGTGACAGCAATTCTGTAAATTCCTAAGCAGTCGGTTTAAACACAGAGATGGCTTTAATGTTAGTATAACACAGTACACAGTGTATTTGTTGGGGACTGTTTTCATGGGTGGATTGCTCCACAGTTCATGCCCTAGTGAGCATTTCCAGCAGCAGCACAGCATACAGTATGTGGGCCTGACTCAGAATAAACTGCAGTGTGTGTGTTCATGGTAATGAGGGTGGTGTCCTAAAATACACCATTTCAAGATTTTAGACTCATACAAGTCAGAAGTTAATATCCAAGTTATCAATCTTAATTGTAGTAAAATTAGTCAAAAACTATTATAAATATATTTCCATCTGCTGTCATGGAACAGTTTAGAAATGACCTGTAATAACAGAGCTTGGAAGAAGATATGTTTCTGCTTAGAATGTTGTAATGTCAGCTGAAACCTGAAAACTAGTTTGAAGCTGGTGCCACTGCAGTAAGCTGTTAACAGGCTGACATGTGATACTGTAGGTTTGTTCTAGGACATTCACTGCCATAGCTACACATGTAGCCAGCCTTCCTTTATGAAATACTCCTCTGGTTTACTGTAGGCAACTTGTATTCAACAACACATCTGACTGCCTACTTGGAGTCACCAACAGATCTAGTTCTACTAGATGTGCAGCTTACAGCAAACATTCTTGAGTTTCCATTAACAACAAGCAGGGCCAAAAAAAAAAAAACCTCAGGTCGACTGTTTGTAGATGTCAGTGTTTATATTGTTTAGCATGTTCATCACTGAAATGCGCCTTGTTCTTGTGTGTGTGTTTGTATGTTAAGGATGCAGAGCAGTGGGAGAAGCTGAGCAGCGCCATTGGAGACTCATGCTCACTGCTCGCTGACAGCACTTACAAGTCAAAGGCCCTGCCTCTTGTTGGAGTCAGAGGTCACATCTTAAAACACATTCACGAGACAACTGTCAGTGATTTGGTCAGCATCACGTCAGAGCACCAAGGTAACAGATGCACTGAGGTATGGGACAGAAAAC